CCCCGCCATCCGCCCCGCGGCGTGACCGGAAGTGCGCGAGTCCACAAGGTGGCGCCAGAAACCCGGAAGCGAACGAGCAGCGAAGCTCAGAGGAACGGAGTCGGCCCGGTCGGGGTACGAGGTGAGGCGCGTTCGGCCCGACCCCCGCCCCAACTCCGCCGCCCCCGCTGGGCCCGAGTCCCGCTCTCAGGCCCGCGTAGGTCCGGCGCCCCGGGCCAGGGTTTCCGGGATTCCGGGGTCGTCACAGGCGGGGGAGCGCGGCGGCTTGTCCCCGCCCTTTCCCGCGACCCCCGACCCTGCGCTGCTCTCTGACCCCCGTCCGACGCGCTTCGTAGCGGAGAGCCGCTACCCAGCGCGGCGGTGATCCTCTGTTGCTTCTTGGTGACGCTCTGTCCCGCGCTTTTGGCTGACCCCCGAACTTTACTTCTTTGGTGACTCCTAACTCCATACTTCTGTGCGACACCCCAGAACCTTGTGACCCCCCACCTCCGCTATTCCCTGACCCCTCGCTTCTTGTGACCCTCAACCTCCGTGACCCCAGCTCCTCCCTCTCTGTGGAGCCCCTGATCTCTCCCATCTTGGTGACTCCTGACCCCAGGCTCCTTGGCGTTTCATTCACCTTTTCTCAGTGTGCCTCCTTCCTGGACCGCTCCTTTCCTGGCTTCTGTCCCCAGGTCTCCAAGAAGGGCAGACACCCTCTCAGCTTTGGGATGGGGCCTTGCTTGTATTAGCTGACCTGGCAGAGCATGTTGGGGTAGGAGTGTCACCCAGAGTTGGTAATGAAACCGGCAGCCAAGGACAGGCAGGGGGTGGGGTAGGTGGGGGATGCAGAGATGGCCCCCACCCCAGAGGTGAGGAGGAGCAGCCTGTGTGGGTAGATGGGGAAAGCAAGGCTGCCAGGTGGGTCCTGCCCACCAGGGCTTCTTCCCAGCACCCCAGAACCCCAGAGCAGGAGGCTGGTGGGGCCTGGAGGGACTGGGCGTGGACAGCCAGGCAGGAGCCATGGAGGTGGTGGGGTGTCTCCCTGCATAACATTACTGAGGTTCTAGGAAGGGAAAAAGGATTGAGTAAAAGGTGTGTCTGGGGTAACCCCAGCTTCTGCTTCCCCAAATTCACCTTGTTCCCACCTGCCCTGATGTCCTTCTTGCCTATCCACTAGCCTCCCAGGCTGGGTTTAGTGCCATCTGTTTGCACTGAGTACAGGAGAGTGCCTGGTTGGAAGCTGGCTGTGATGAAGCTTGCTGGCAGTTTAGGGGGTTGGTGAGTGCTTCAGTGTCACAACGGAGCTGGTGTTGGACTGAATTTAGCTGGGAACCTGCCTACCTGCTGCAGGGCACGGTGAGTCTGTCCCAGTAGGCGCTTCGGAAAGGTTCAAGGAAAATGGGGCTTGGCCCTGGGGGCACCGCAGATCCTGGAAGGAAGAAAGGCTGCTTGTCATAGGCATTGAAACCCCAGAGACCATTGGAGGCTGGCCTCAGTCAGTAGATGTGAGAGTGGCTCTTCCTCCAGGCAGAGCCGGGCTGAACCTGACCCTGCAGTGGCTTTTCCCTGCCTTGGGCACTGGGTACCTGGATGCCTGGGGGCAACATACCCTTTCTGACCCTGTAAGCAGAGGAGTGGCACTTTCTTTGAGGCTGAGACCTTGGACCCCATTGGCCAGCCCATTTGTGTCCTTTCTTCCAAGCACCCTGGATTTTCCCAGGGGAGGCCCCAGAGTTGGGCGGTGGTTGCTGTCTGGTTGGGGCCACTGTCTCTGTAGTGCCATCTGCCTTGACTCCTTGTGGAGAACACTGAATGTGAAATCTGCGCCACGGGATGGGTGGAACCAGGAAAGGGCAGGATGCGGGTGTGAGAGGGCAGGGCCCAGGGCCCTCCACAGTGGGCGAGAAACATGCAGGTGCCTGTCAGACCCTGTGGAGCCTTCTAGGAGCCCTATGAGTGCTAGACACTGTCCATAGGGAAAAGCCAGTGCCGGTACCTGGGAGAAGGTGTTCTGAGGTTTCTGAAGGCATGAGGGTGCTTTTGTTTAACTCAGAAGGGTGTCTGAGCAGACTTCTGCTCACAGTTTTGGAGCGAGGACCTGCCCAGAGAGAGTGTGTATATGTGTTGGGGAGAGACATCTGTGCTCTCGAAGAGGGGTGGGGGAATCCTGGGGCCAGATGAGGGTCTGAGTTTCCAGGGGGGGCCATTGGTTTTGAAGTTGGGGCTGGTGAGGCAGGCCACAGGTGGGCAGCCCAGGATTAGTACTCTCCAGCTGTGTGACTTTGGGCCAGTCACTGCCCCCACCTAAGGGAAACCAGAGCCAGACCCCTGCAGCCCTCACCCCTCTCCCACCCCAGCGGTGTGACCAACCCAGGCAGGCCCAGCTCTGTTTTAGCAGTTTCAGATGCCCCTCCAGCCAGGGCTGGCCGGAAATGCTGACCCAGCGCAGGGCTCTAGCCGCGTGAGCGAGCTCAGTTGGGAATAAAGAGGCAACTGTGTCCAGTCTCCAGAGGCAGCCTCCCCACAGGATGGCCTCTGCTTTTACTGCCAGCATTGGGGGTAACGTAATCTCAGAGTGTAAATACAGCACAAGGCTGACATGGCTAAGTGGGGAGGCAGCTTCCGTGGCACCAACACAGTCCCAGGGTCTGCATGTGTGTGCAAGTGCAGGTTTTGTGTGAAAATGTGTGCAGCACCATGCATATACTTGTGCATGTGCATGTATGTGCACATTGTGAACATACATGTGTTTGGTACTCACGAGTACATGCATGTTTGTTTCCGTGTCTGTTGTGTGCATGTACACATGAATGGGCTCGTATTGTCTATAAGTGTGCATGTGGTTGTGTGTTCATGTGGGTTGCATGTGTACAGTTGAGAGTAAATGAGCACATGTGTCATGTGTGAGTATGCACATGCATGTGTGTGTGTGTGTGTGTGTGTGTGTGCATGCAGTTCATTATAGATAGGCTTGATGCATCTCCAACCACTTTTTCCCCAGCATAGGCAACATGGTCAGATTGCAGGGCTGGGCATGACAGGCTGTTGGGTATAGCCAGAGAGTGCAGTCACCCAGTCCTGGTCAAGGCCTGGCCTGGAAACTACTCCACCTCGTCTTCCTGATCTGCCCACCCCCAGCCATGGCCTTGAGTACCGGTGTCCCTGGGGCTCCTGGCAAGTGAAGGTCACCTCTCCCCTGAGTAGAACCCCCAGTCCTTGTCTTTTGGAACTACCCTTTCCCTCCTCCTGCCACTGGCTGGTCAGTCCCACATGAGTGGCCTGAGCGGGGCTGAGACAGAAAGCAAACTTCTGTCATCTTTATCATCCTGCTGGTGGTGACAACTGCCCTGAGGTCTCCTGCTTCTCTCACTGGGAAGTTTGGCCACCCTGCCAGCAGGTGGGTGACTCAGGTGAGGGCCTGAACTGTGGTTTCTGATGCTGGGGCTCCATCACCTGTTCCCGTGGGCTTGCCAGGCTCCCTGGGGTAGCAGAGACAAGACCTGTTGTTTATGTTCTAAAACATAGATGAACCTTCAAAATGATGCTCAGTGATAAGCCAGGCACAAAAGGCCATATAGTGTGTGATCCCATTTGTGTAAAATGTTGAGAACAGGCAAATCCATGGAGATAGGAAATGGGTTTGTGGTTGTCAGGGACTGGGAAGGGGATGGAGGTGACTGTGGATGGGGATGGGGCTTCTTTTTAGGGTGATGGAATGTTCTGGTATTACATAGTGATACTGGTTGCAAAACCCTGTGAATGCACTAGAAGCCACTGAGGTGTGCACTGTAATGGATAAAGTGTGTGGCATGTCAATTGTGTCTCCATAAAACAAAATGTTAAAAAGAAAAGAAAGAAAGCAGGGTGTGTCCTTCCCCCTCTGATGCCCACATGCTGTGGCCTGGGGGTGGGTGGACTCTGGGAGTGGCCAGCTCATACACAGTTGCTGGGTGGTTTGTGTCTTCCCACACACGGTGGTGGCAGAGGAGGTGATATCTCTGTATTATGGAAGGTGAATGAGGCTCCTTAGGTGCCCCTCACTAAGCCACTGCTCTGCGTCCAACCAGTGCATCGTGCAAGAGGTCCTAGGGAATCTGGACTCCTGGTGCAGGGGCGCCTTTGGTGGGATGTGAGTGGTGGGGGTGGGGGGCCCAGAGAGCAGCTCCTCCCTGAAGGCGACTCTTTGGGAGGCAATAGACAGGAAGCCTTGCCAGGCTTTGCTCTAGGCAAGGTTCCCTCGACTTCCAGTACATGCTTGGGCGCTAACCTCTAGCCACTTTGTGCCTGCTCAGTCGGCATGTAGAGGAGGCCCCCAGTTTCCCATCGGATTGGCCTCCATCCTCTTAGGATAAATCCCAAGTGAAACTGAAAGAGGCCTTGATCCTTTTGAATGTGTCCACACCCAGAAGGCTGTCACCCATTTCATGGGAGTCCACCCCAAGGGTGAAAGGCCACTGACACAGGAAGCTTCGATGGTGGGAAGGAGGAGGGGTCCGACTGGGGTCCCAGCGGCAGTAAACTTTTATGGCCCTGACTCACCTACACTCTACAGCAGAGATGGCCCACAGGCACTGGGAGTGTCTGTTGTCCCTCTCGACCTGCAGCCCAGGGCTCTGAGTCTGACCATAGTGAGAAGGCATCTTCCTCCCTACATGAGGTAAACTGAGGAAAGGCTTACTCCTGGGGACTGGGACAGCACAGGCATTGGGAGGGGAAGCTGCGCTCAGGCTCTCTCATGCCCTTGGTTCCTCCTGTGGTCAGGCCTATATGACCAGAGCTCTGCAGGGCTGCTCCAGGGTCTGGGATGGTCTTGGTGGTTTAGGGGTATAGTTCTTCCCTGGAGGCTGTGAAGTGGGGGTATAGGGCATATAGAGCCCCTTCCTGCCCCCACCCAGTCTAAGGTGGGTGCTGGTGACACAGGGTATGGGAGCCTCTCCTGGTATCACCAGCAAATACATGAGCTGGCCTGGCCAGCGGCATTTTGGGAGGGTTTTCATCAGATTCTGGCCCTCCAGGAACTTGGCTCACTGCTTTGGGACTCAGGGTGAATGATACCCCAGGTAGATGTGGGGGGCTGTCAGAGACAGCCCTGGGGGAGGTGCTGGGTGGTAACAGCACCCCCCCCCCCCGGCTGGGCAGCTCCATTCCCAGCACTGTGGGAACCTGGAAGAAGGTGCCCCACAAGGTGGGTTGGGCATGACAGCTGGACTGCCAGCTTTGAGAAATCAGGGGCTGCCACCTCCAAATCCAGACTTGCCGCTTCTCTTGCAAAACCAGCCCTTCTGGAAGCCTGGGCCACATTCCTACACCAGCCAGCCCCCCACTGCCTGGCCCCTCCAAGGGCCCTGGGGAGGCTTCCAGCAGAGAGGGTCACGTGCGCTTTGCTGCTCCGAGCACCTATGGGGAGAAGGGCTTGTGTCCCCAGAGCCTGTCACTAAGCAGGGCAGGGTCAGGGTGGGGGGGAGCTTGCTG